AGAGAGGGGTTGGAACCTTATACTGGTAAGCGTCTGCTTCATCCAACCCCATCTCAAACTGTGTTTTGTAGTGTAAATGTTTGACATCTCCATGTAAAAGCCTGATCCTGTAAAGCTCAGAAGCTAAGCAGTGCATGGCCTGGTCAGTGCTGTAGTAAGTAATTAAGTAAGTAATCTTTATTTATATACCGCCTTTTCACTGCACATCGGAGTCTCAAAGCGGTTTACAATTGTTATTTTTGGGAGTGCCAGTACAGGAGGCACATGCCAGACCTATTGTACATATATCGAACCCAGGACCTTCTTGCTGAGAGGCGAGAGTGCTATCCACTCAGCCACCGTGTAATAGGTCACACAGTAGGGCAGCTGTGGACTAGACTGAAATACAATTGTTGAGTCCTCACTTGACCACATGGCACAGTTTGCAACTTGTGTACAAAGCATTAGGAATGCTCAGAGTGGCTGAAGGTGCAGATTGGCAGCCTTGTCTCGTTCAGTTTGCCCCAGGGAAGCCTTAGCTACAGTCAAATCATTGGAGTGAATGTTAACTGTAGAAAAGTGTAAAGATCTTCTTGTCAAAACGTGCTCTATAAAAACAAAGCATATGTTGTTCTTTCATTGGAAGCCGGAGCCAATTCCGTCCCTGGGCCTTAAGTTGAATTAGCTGCTCCACACGGTCCTGCAGTGTTTATTCTAATGCTGTCTTTGAAATTCAAATTATGTACAGTGTGGTTTGTGATACAGTGTTTCAGATGCAAAGATAATAAATGCATAAGATGACGGCACTAGAGAAAATCACAGAAATGTAAATACAAGATTAAAGTCATTTGAATATTCTTGAAATGGGATCAACGTTTGCAAACACAACATCTCTGTGATGTGGTGAACACGCTTGCAAAACCGCGGCGCTTGGTGGAACTTCTACTACAGTCAGACATGTGCTGTCGTCATGGAGACGAGCTGCCAGGGACCGGCTGCATCTGGGACACAACACCCTGAGAGCAGTGAAAGAGAGAAGGAAGTGAGAAGGAGAGAGGAGAGGAGAGAGAGGAGAGGAAAGATGAGAGAGAGGAGTAGAGGGTAGTGAGAAGAGGAAAGCGGAGAGGGTGATGAGCAGAGGATAGAGGACAGGGTTGGAGTAGAAGAGAGGGGAGAGAAGATCAGTTTGAGAGGAGCGAGAGGGTAGGGCACAGAAGGGAGACAGTGGGGGCCCCTGAGTCCTACATAGACAGTAAGGGGCCCCTGACTTCACACTGACAGAGCCCCTGAATTCTGATTAAAGTTTCATCAAAGTGTGTGTTGTCTTTGATGTGTTCTGGAAGCACTAGCTTTTAGTGAGTCATGAATAAAAGAACACAGCTGTATTTTGCTCCTAACACAACTTTACTATTACATCAGTACTCTTACTACAGTCTGACAGTGTAATTCAGATGTTTGGACAATCCAGTTGTTATGCCACATGTGACTGACTTTTCTAGTGGCGCCACCTACAGGTTAAAGCCAGATGCTGTCAAATCTCTGAAGCTAAGCAGGGCAGGGTCTGGTTAGACCCAATGAAAGATCCAGGCTCTTGAGGACTCACCACCTGCAGGAGGATCAGTGAGGGGCTGTACTGGGTGCAGCTCTGACTGACATCCACGGAAATGGATTAAAGTGATAGTCGGGAACTCTAAATGAAATACACATTTTAAAAATGGTATTAAAATGACCTCCTGGGCATAAATGTTGATATATAAATCATCGTATGAATATAATATTACGGGTAAGTCCCGCCTTCCCTTCTCTTAGCTATAGCTCAAAATCCACATGTCGTCCACTTTCACCAATCAAGTGGGCTGTCAATCATCAGCACTCGTGCTCGTAGCTGTGCACACGCTCAGTTGTTTGTTTTCATAGAGCCTCCAAATCAAGCCTCCACCAGGCTCTGGAACTACATGAAAAGTGAACAAAGAAATCAGAACATCAGCAATGAGTGACCCAAATAAATATAAACTTAACCTAAATCCATGATCAGATCCTGTGCAAATGTGTCCTAAAGTGTTCACTTAATGTTAACAGTTACTTATGGGTTTACCACGATCGCTTTTTGTCACATTAAAACAGCATTTTTGTCATGAAATCTTTGACTGAATATTCTGAAAACCTCTGTACACGTGTGTTAATAATGTATATGTATAATGTGTTCTCCGATTAACATTTAAATATGTTGATTAATTGTTATTTGTGTCTATTGAGCGTGGCTAGCTCCGATAGCTTCTCTCTGCACAGACAGAAGTAATAAGTGACAGGCGCTGAAAGCCCGTTGTGTACGAACTACGGCCATTATTGATTTGAAAGGTCCGTTATCAAGAAATAACGATCAGTAGAACGTTTTGATTCAAATATATTCAAATATTTAAATTAATAATCTCCCCTCGCACGTCTTAGACCATTGACCTGGAGCGTGCAGAGAAAAGTAGGCGCAGACAAATCAGAAAGGAAGGGGGAGGGAGCTTGGGTCGTTTTTTCAAATCATGTACCTCTCTCTCTTTCATTTGACAAACTCCAAACAATCACATTAAGGGGAAGAAAATGGATGGATTAATATATACATGGCAGTATTTTGGTCTCTCTCTTGTTGTCTGTGGACCCTTTCTCTGACAAAACCTTGTGTTTGACGTTCCTAAAGGGCAGGAGCCTCTCTCTCCACCATGTGTCTTTGTGTGTATGGTTTCTTTTCTGTTCTGTCGCTGTATGTTTCTTGTTTATGCCTAGTATTGTCAACTACAACTCTCTCCAAGAAGGTAAAATTTACATGTATGTTTAGAACTGGTGTGCTATTTAGGCGTCATTGTGTTGTGAAAGTCTCATAACTATAAGTGACATGGATCAATAGAACCAAGAGTGTAGGTCTGAGCTACAGTCTCCAGTCTCCTACAGGCTCAGCCACACTGTTGTCAAGCGTCTTATTGCATTTATCCTCACAGCACTGCTCTACATCTTATAATTGGCAGCTCTAGAACAATCTTTGTTGCAGTTTTGTCAAACATTGTCCCAGATTATTCCACAGTATTTAAATGCGCCTCTGCTACAACTGCATAGACTTAGAGGCATTCAGTATTCATGCGCTTACATCACCAGAGCAGAGGGGGAGATCACAGCAGCTCTGTGTGTCTCCATTTTCACACTGCTTCAGATTATTTCTCTTCACTTTGCTTAATATTGAATCATCACCCTCAAACTACACCTGTACTGTCGCCTGTAACCTGAGATCGAAGCATCAAGAACATCTCCTCCCCCTCTGTGCCCTCTGCGTTTTACCCATACATCACTGTCAAGAGAGCAGTGTATGCGGGAGAACCAGGGACCCCATCTCCAGTAGCCATCCCATGCTCTTCAGGACCAGAGCTGGAGGACTATTTATTTTTTTAGTGGTGGGAGAACATTACGACCGGTATTCGAACCCAGAGCCTTCTGCTGAGAAGCAAGAGCGCAAACCACTCAGCCACCCTGTCCTGGTTCATCACTGCGGGGAAGACGGGAAAATCAGTAGAATGAGGTCTCTGGTGTTCACTGCAGGCTGTCTACGAAATGTTTTTACTTTTTTATTATTATTATTTTGTTCAAGATAGAGATTTTATACTTATTCGTTTATGCTAGAGTTAGATATAGCTATTGTTCACTCATCTTATGCTGTGTGCTCCTCTTTCCTACTGTTCTATAACTTGTGATGCAACACTGACATTTCCCCACTGTGGGATGAATAAAGGATATCTTAATCTACATGACGCCTACAGTGCGTTGCAATAGGGGCCAACATTGGCAACTAAAGGAGCCGTATCCAGGCCATTTCAAACATTCTGTCATGGTTTGGATTTTCTGTTAGTTTGTACTTTGGTTTTATTTTCATATCAGTTCTCAGTTGGTTTAGTTTTAGTTTTACTTCCTGTCTTGTTCCCCTGGTTGCTGATCCATTGTAATGTCTCTGTCTTTGGTTTTGATTTTTTGTATTTTTTACCCTGTATTTTTTATCAATATCACCATTAAATTATTATTTTGCATTCCTGCATTTTTGTGCCGTCCTTCATCTCACCATGTATCACATACCACAACATTTAAGATTAGAAAAGACAATTGCCAATACAACCTTTCTTAAATGTTAACAAGCCACCATTTTAGACATCTGTTCAGTATACTTTCTTTGTCATGAATCATTGTCCCGTCATGCATAAAGTCTGCTTTAATGTGAATTTAGTTCATAAACATGTTACTCTAGCCCTTAAGGCCATTCTCCACTCTCATTCTGCACTGAACAAAGATACAAACATTATTGATTATTTCTAGGAAATGATCAGATCTCAAAACATTTTACACGGAGGCAATACACATTGTATTTAATAGTGCGAATTAACAAATTTTTGTCACAGGAGATTTTCTCCTGAAGCCAAAATAGCAGAAACAGTTCGAACTCAGGAAATGCAATAATAATAAACACATACTAGGAGCAAATGGTCCTAGAGAATGGGATGACCACTGTCCAGAAATGGTTATAAATGTGCATATATGTTGCGGCTCTTCACTGTCCCTAAACCCTCCTGCATCGCCAAGGAAAGAGGGATCCGATACCACAGACAGACAGGCTGTAGATCCAGGATCCAGCATCTAAGAATGCCATTTCCTATTTATTCCCCGAGATATGAGTGTGGTTCATTCTTCTCCTCTCTTACTCCATGTGTCATGTTTTTTCACATTCTAAATCATTGTCAAACCTGTGCTCCTTCTCAGGTTGGAAGTAAACCCTGCAGCCACACCAGCCTTTTGAGGACCGGTTTGGCACCCCTGTTCTTAATCATGAAAATCCAAAATCCATTCTCATTTCAAAGGATGATAGAAAAAACAAATAATGCCTTAAAATGCTTTAAAGCAAAGCCAAATTGAGCAATGTTAAGCAACCCTCTCTGAGATGTATATCCTTTGCAGCAGAAGAAGCAGGTGCGCAGTGTGGAGCTGCTGAAACAGTGTCAGAGTGGAGCCTCTGTGTAAAATGGCTTGTTCTGCCTGCAGCCCCCTCCCCAGAGCCCTGCACAGCCATATAAAGCCCATCGATCCCCGTCAGAGCGCCTCTGTGTGATTTTGTTCTCATCCAGCGCTGAAAAACGGCTCTGACAGACACACGCTCTGCCCCACAGTCCAGGCAGGTCCAGCGGGAGAAGGGAGCGTCGAGTCCGACACGCACCGACAATCAGGGCCTCTTCAGATGGGCAGTACTGCTCCATGCTGCTCATACTGCAGAAGAATCTGTGGACCTGTCCCTTGTCCCGCCCCAGGCCCAGGTGGCGCTCAGTCAATCGTCTCACAGCAATGCCCTTGTCACTCCAAAACCCAAACATGAAACTCAAGTACTTTTTCTGTATGTACCTGGCAAAGTACAGCAACTTAAGAATAAAAAATATGATATAAAAATACACTAATCGACTATTACTTCATCGGATATCAGATACTTCTCAGCCCTGAACCTACAGCCTCAGTCCTAGTAGAGCTCTCTCAAGGAGAGAGCTCTCTACTCCTATTCCCACTAGGTATGAGTACAGTAGTTCCTTGTTTTATGTACATTTCTGATCATTTCTGGACAGTGGTCATCCCACTCCCTATGGACCAATGGCTCCAATGTGTTTGTTATTATCTCAAATTCTGTGTCTGAACTGTTTGGTTCTCTGATCTATAATTTCTGATGTGTGGAAAGTCCTCCGAGATGGCTGCTGTTAGGGTGTTGATTTAGGATGATACACAAATACATGGAATTGTGTCCTTCAGACTGGGTCAGAGCCTGTTTTAGTCCTAGTCCAGTCCATGGTTCAGCCTATGTGCGTTGCCAGGCCTGGCTCACATGGTGGTGGAGTAAAGTCACGGGGCAGACATGCACATCTCTGCAGTCTGAATGAGGCCTGAGATAAGTGACACTGTCATCTACTGTTCCAATTGGGAAATTACATAATGCTTTAAATTAGATCCAAAATGTAACTGAAGGCAGTTGTTCTACACAGTTTATTGTTTAATAATATTGTTTGGAAAAAACAACCAGCTCTGCCCCTGACATCATAATGTGAAGCTTGGTCACACATAAGTAGTTTGGCAGCAGCATACAGACAAAAGGGTAAGGGGTTGTGCTGCTCTTATCCGTTCTTCTCCAATGGTATAAAATATCACAACAGCTATGAGTCTTGTTCGATTTGCCCAGACAAACAATCCTACAGGATATCAGTCTGCATATAAGATTAAATTAACAAGCAATCTCTCACTTGGAATGAGATAAATTAAAGTAGTCTTTATCACAGACACAAAGATGCTTCCTCCGATGGTAACTCTTATCGCAAGTGGATATACACCCAAATTAAATTAATTTTAATTATTCACACTTTAATATTTTTTCCGCATAAGGACATCTGCAGTGTCTTCATTTACAATGAGTCACACACTGTGTTTCTCATCTTAATTGATTATATGTCAAGTTAAAGTTTTTCAGGACCATGGACAGCTCCCTCTGCTCCGACAACCCCAGTACTTGGGGTTCATTAACACTACACAGAATATACGTTTACACACAATATTCACACACACTGTATACACACAGTATATGTTTTCTGTCCTATGAAACAAAAGCACATGAATCATCCACACATTCAGACACCATCAAAAGTAGACACTGGGGTTACGTTGAGTTTTCCGTGTTCCGTTTTGCCCAAGGATGGCGCTGGTTTCACACTTGCGGTTCAGTCCATCGGCTGTTTTAAGTCGAGAACAGGATTCAAACCCCCCAATCTTCAGTCAGAGGACACATTTCAACGGAGCTGCTTTGGAGAGTATTGACACTAGATACTGTTATTTGAACTCCAGGCCCTTAGTCACATGATTGACTTTTACACAGATATCTGATTATCACAGGTCATCAAGACTGGAGGTCATTGGGGCTGGAGGTCACCAGGACTAGAGATCACCAAGGCAGGGGAAGCAGCAGGTATGGGGAGGGAGTAGAGCAGGCTTTGCTGAGTGCGCACAGTGAGGAGCGCAGCGAATATGTAGGGCAGAGCACATCTCCGGAGATCTCAGAATTCAATTAAAGCGAGAGAAACTCCAGTAGCAGCAGCAGCAGCAGCCACAGCAGCAGCAGACGGATGATGTGGCAGCTGTGTGACTCTGCAGTTTGGTATGTAACAGCAGCATGTTCTGTAACAGAGACATTATACTGGATCTGGGACAGCGAGCATGCAGCCATGACGCGCAAGCCTCTTTGAGCAGAGAGAAGTTTGGCTTCTGTGTGTGTCAATATGAAGCTACAATAGAATATTACACAAATGCTTTGGAACTTGGAAATGAGATCAGGGGCCTCGCACAGGTCCAACGCCACAGACAATAAGTGGTGTTCCGAGCAGTCATGCTTGTAGGACTGTAGTGCACACACAAACCGTCTCCATCAGTGACATCACAGGTGGAAACCTCATCATGGGACTGAAGAAGAGGAGAAACTTCCTCTTGTGGCAGACAGAGCCAGGGATCGAGGCCACGCATCGTTACCTCTTGTTCTTTGCCACACAATGTTTGCCTGAAATATTCACAATTTAATGATATGTGTCACATTTATTCAGAGCTTTTCCGTTTTCAAGGCTTCACTTCACATCAAGGAACCACACACGTACGCACACACACTCACACACACGTACACACACGAACATGTCAAACTATTAAGACTGCCTCTTTAGTTCACAGACTTGCCTAGGGGCCGACAAGCCGTGCTCTAAACCGTTCTGACTGGATTCAGGATGTTCACAATGATTTACATTGAATGGACCTGATGCTGAATGTAAAAGTGATGATTAGCTACATGAGAGTCATAAATGCATTTTGTGCCATAATCAAATATGGCACAAATATGGTGAATGAGAGAGTTCTGAGCTCTATAATGCAGAAATGTATGTCTGTGTGTGTGTATGTGTGTGTGTGTGTGTGGTCAAAGATTCTAAAATCCATTGAGTTATAGAAGCATCCACAAACATAGTTGATTCTAAAGATCATGTTTAGGGGCACACACACATACACAGACACATACACACACACACACACACACACACACACACCCCTCTCTGTGCTTATTTACACCAGGACCTATTTGGCCGAGTTTGAACTGCCTCTGATAATGGAAATTAGGAAATGCAGAGAGAGAGAAATAAAAGTTGCTGATGGTGCGCCAGATTCTGTCCAAGTTTGAGAAATGTTGCTGGAGCAGCTTGTTCCGGATGTGCTTAATGTTATCGGCGCGAGCAGGGCTTTTCTCTGTCTGTGCTGAAAGGAAACAGAGCTGGTGCTGCTTTGCATTTGTGAGAGTGTGAGAGGGTTTGCCTGTCCATATGTTCAATATGGACAGCTGGACATTGTCAGCAAGACTTCAAAGCATTGCGATGACTTTTACCTATAGGGAGTTTCAGTCCGGTTATTCTTCATGTAATGTCATTTTCAAAGATACAGACTTCGTGTTTCAACGGGGGCTTCGGGCAATATGGTGTTAAGTGTCTTGCCCAGGGACACAACAACAGCAGACTTCAGTGGAGCAGATGACATGGGTCGTGGGGGGATAGAACCCACGACCTTTAGGTTCAGAGACCATTGCTCTTCCAACGGAGCCACTGTTGCCCCGGGTTTTATCTTTAATTCAGAAATATCGGCTGATAGTATAACATAAGCCTTGTTTCCACTAACCCGACTTGGCCCTACCCTCCCCTACTCTACTCTAATCTATCCCAATCAGGAGCAGTTCTATCCAGGCCGAGCTGGTATTAAAGTATTCTAAATGACAGTGATTGGCCAGAGTTCTGCTGGAAGCCATGGTTACCAAGGATTTTCCCCAGATTCTGGTTTTCCCAGATTTTGGGTTGGGAGGTAACTAAGAGATGTTATCGAAAACTTAAGTGTAATGGAAATGTGCCGTCTATATGGTCTCTCACGCTCTGATCTATCTCTGGTCTTTCCCTTGACTGAATCTGAAAAAGCTGACCTAAAGATGTGACAGAGACTGATAAAACTAATGCTATACGGAGACTATTTAGAGGCTTGTTTCATTATCGTACATTTATTGAGATGGAACGTTAGGCATTTGCTTTCTAATAGTAGATTGACATTGATGGAATAGGAGACCGGTCTATGGGGACACATTATAATTGATTCAGTTTAACACAGACTTGTTTGTGAAGAGATAATTATAATCTCACACATCTCCCTGGAGACGTCTGCATTACTGACTGAAATGGTCAGATTCAGAAAAACTATCAATGGCATTTTAGGTATAAGACAATATAAAATACTCAAACATGAAGCTTAAATCACTTTAATTGGTTTTATCAGAGACCTAGATATTCCACGTCATATAGTTTTAGAAAGTGTGGGGCCTCGTCTCCTCAACATAAATGGAAGACAGGCTCACAACATCAAAATGAGAGTGAGAAAACCCGGAATTCTGAGCTCAGATTTAAAGCGGAAGCACAATTGACACGGCACAAGAAGTCAACAGATGGAGCAAAAATGAGCAGCACCAGCAGCAGAGATTGTGTGAGAGAGAGAGGATTTAAGCCTAAAGCCAAAATTCTGTTTATCTGCATTCAGGAAAAGAAGATTTAGCATGTGTAAAATGAAAATATAAAATTACATAGATTATCGAGCGGGTAAACAAACAAGAGCCGGAGAGCCGAGTCTGCTTCGGGACCCGAGGCCCAGACTGACTGCTGGCTGCCATGTTGGATTATCAGCTGTGGGAACGCATGGGAATCAGACTCTACAGTCACTTCTGCGCCTCTGGACCAACGGAGAAGACATATCACAGATTCTGCTCTGAGCATTTCTGATGCCGATGCTAGTGTTAGTGGCCTAGTGGAGACAAAGGGTATTGCATGAGTTGACCATAAATTCATCTTTTCAATTCAATTTATTTTTGTGTAGCCCTAAATCACAATAGTAGATATCTCGGAGGACAGATCAGAAAATCAAACCGTTCAAACACAAGAAATGTTAAATGGACATGTTATTCTATCTGTTGTATCTGTCCTGATGAAGGCCCTGATGACGGCCCTGATGAGGGTCCAGTGCAAAAGGCACGAAGCCCAAATACTTTTTTCTAAGTCTAATTGTTTTCAGAACAATCAGTGTGATTACACTGAGGCTGAACACGTCAGGTACATACCTGTCCATATGACAGTCGCCTCCTGCTGTCCACAGAACAGGCGCATTCTGTTAACAACGCTTTGAATTCCTCCACAGCCTCCAAACACAGCTGCCATACACAGCCTCAAAACACAGGCGCTATACTGACTCCTGTGAGACGCGCTGATGTAACCGTGCGCTGGTG